ATTTTTAAGAGGTTCCCCACCCCACCCCACCCCCCATTTAGGGCATGTGTGCTTGCTGGAGAGAAAGAGACAGAGACAGTGAGAGGAAAAGTGAGTTAGAAATCACTCCCCAGGGTGGATGGCCACACCGCAATCCTTTCTCCACCTAGAATCTTGGACATGAACACACACATGCCTGGTGTGAGTTTCAAGCCACTGGATCTGGACTTGCACCAGTCTGCCATGTGTTAGTACAGTGATGTAACCGCTATGCCATCTGCTGGACCCTCCAAGTACTTATTAAAGCCACAAAGTAAGGGAAATTTCTGTAGAGCCAGCTCACTCTCTCACGATTACACTTGCAGGCTTCAGAGATGGACTGAGACTCTCAAAAGACAAGTGAGAGTGGAGGGCAGACAACAGTGCAGCGGGAAAACGCCACACTCTGCAAGGTTAATTCACACAAGAAGTTATAATGGCTGTCCTCGTCAGTTTTGGCTGCTGCAGCTATTACCATAGACTAAGGTGCTTAAACAACAGATATGTACAGTATTTCTCACAGTTCTGGAGGCTCGGAAGTCCAAGTTCAGGCTGCCTGCATGGTCAGGTTCTGGTGAGGGTCCTCTTATTGACCATCATCTTCTCCTGTATCCTCCCCATGGCAGGGAGGGGGAGAGAGTGTTCTCTGGGAATCTCTTTTAAGATCACTAATCTCATTCATGAGGGATCTACCTTCATGTCTTATTTATCTCGAAGGCCCCACCTCCTAATACTAGCGCGTTGGTGGGGGTAAGATTTCAGCATGTGAATTTTGGGAGGACACTAACATTCAGTCCCTAATAAGAGTAAAGCCAGGTTATACCCAGATCATTCTGAGTTCAGAACCTGGGCATCTAATTAGTGGGGCATATGTTGTCCACAATCAAATGGGTCTAAAATCATAAGATCTGGAATTTGTGGGGGTTTCTGCAGCTTCCCCAAATCCTAACTGTGGCACCTCTGACCGGTGGCCTGGCTCTACGCAACCTCTCTGGGGATAGATGCTTCATGTCTCATGGGGATTAACTCTGTTAACCTAATGAGTCCTTTTTTAGCTAGTAAATCCCATTGTTTTAGGATCAGCTGCTGGCAAGGTGCTTTCATATGCTGTAACTGCAGAACCTCTTCAAGTGTGTCCTTCAGGATTGGAGTCAAGAAGACGCCTACTTCTCTTCATCTTCAAATGTTCCCACTTTGCAGGGAGGCCTACAGGGGAAACCGGTCTGTGTTGAAAAATACGAGCATGCACATCAAGAAATAATGATACATGGAATAGAAGATAAGACAATTTCCCAAAATGATCAGAAATAGGTGTGCTTTGAAATGAGAATGCCCTGGTAATTTCCATATGTGGCAAAATCTCTACTGGCTGGCATATTTTTTTCCTTTAGCTTCTGTTGTAAGAACAATCTTTTCTGTTTCTTCTTTATGTTTTGGAGAACAAGAAGTCTGGAAGGGGGGAGAGGATTTTTCTCTTAGTGTGTTGATGGCCTCTTGTGAGCTCAAGTTCTTTTCTATTTCTTAATAGGTTCTCAATGAAAGATGCCTTAAATGCCTTAACAATGGAAAGGATTTAACCATAATGTTAGTACGTTAAAATTTGTTCTTTATTCATGAGAGAGAGAGAGAGACAGAGGGAGAGAGAGAGACAGGGAGTGAAGAGGGAGAGAGAGAGAGAGAGAGATGCACTCTCCACAGAGTCTGGTCTCATTGTTTTCCCCTTCCTCCAGACCTCTAGCCCATAGATCCTGGGTACTTGCATGTGTGCCTGGCATGTTTCAGGCTTACTGGGCAAGAGATTCAAACCGCAGCTGCCGTGTGGGATCTGACTTCTCTTGAGAAGCACATTACTCTACAAAAGGGAGATGGTCTGAATAAATCCTTTCTGTGGTAGCTAGTCTAAGGGCCATCCATTTCTCCTAGGACTCATGTGCTTGTGAAGTCCCCTCGCATGTTAGATCTAGGCTGGCCCAGACAGAATTGAGCCAATAGGACCTGGCAGAAATGGTGCGCCAGGCCTAAGTCTTAGAAAGGTCTCCAAGTTTCCCCTTATGAGACCAGCAAAAAGTTTCCCTTTATGTACTTTTGGGAGCTCTGTGCCGCCGAGTAGGATATCCAAATGCTCTGCTAGAGGGGGTGCGTGGGGAAATAGAGGTGCTGAGACTTTGTGGAGAGAGAAACAGTTCCAGCTTGGGCAGGCATCCTGTGCGCGCCCTGCCTGTCAGCTCCCTGTCAAGGTACCTGACCTATAGGTGAGCTATCCCAGATGTTCTTGTGCCCTCATGTTCCCAGGTAAATGCAGCCCTAGTCCATGTAACTCAGAGCAGAAGAATCACGTGGCCAAACTGAATCTATTTATAGAAAAATCAGAGGTAATCAAATGGTGGTTGTTTTCTTCTTCTTTTTTTGGGGGGAGGGGGAGAGGTTTTTGCTATAGGGTGCATGCGCTCGCCAGACAGAGAGAGACAGAGAGACAGAAAGCGAGAAATCACCCCCCAGGGGGCATGGTCACGCCGCAATCCCTTCTCCTCCATTCTCCTCTCGGGATCATGGGCACGCATGCACACACGCCCGGTGTGTCTTAAGCCACCGGGTCCGGGACACGAACCGCGGTCGACTACGTGGGAGTCCAGCGACATAGCCATTACACTACCTGCTGGTTCCCAAATGGTGGTTGTTTTAAGCCCCACGTTTGTGGGGTGGTTTGTTACATAGTAATAGATAACCAAACACTATTCTTTCTCATATATCAAACCTGATATTTTTTTTAGTAAACAAATTAATGAAGATATATATGATAGCAACGTGATTAAAAACATAATGTTTATCTTGCAGAATACCTGATCAGAAATAATGCTCTTTCAAGCAATATTTAGACCATAATGAGATAGCACTTTATACCCACTAGGATGGTTATCATCAAAATGATAGCACTGGCCCCATGGTGCAGCAGTAATGGGTTGCCCAAGAGAAGCTGGATTTCACACAGCAGCCACAGAGTCGAGTCCCCAGCCTGGTCAGCCTGAAACATGCCAGTCACACACATGAATGCCCACGAGCCAACTGCCTGGAAGACTGGAGGAGGGAGTTCAACATGGTCACATACTGGGGTGCTCATCTTCCCTTCTCTCTCTCTCTCATGTGCATGTACACACTGTCGTGAATAAGAGAGGGGAGAGGGAGAGGCAGATACCAGGGCAAAAGCTAGGGAGCTCAGTTCCGGGCTCAACTGAAAACAAGCTGGGTGATTCTAGCTAACTGAGAGGCTGGGGCAGAGGGACCTCGGCATGGCAAGACTCTGTTAAAAGTATCTCTTATGGCCAGCAGATGGTGTAGTGGTTAGGTCACTGGACTCCCACATGGCCAATTGTGGATTGAGTCCTGGACCTGGTGGCTTGAAACTCACACTGGGTGGGTGTGCCTGCGGGCTCACACTGGGTGTGTGTGCTTGCGTGCCCAAGATCCCAGGAGGAGAGTGGAAGAAAAGGGATTGTGGCATGGCCACTCCCCTAGGGGGTGATTTCTCACTTTTCCTCTCATTGTCTCTGTCTCTCTCTCCCCAGCGAGTACACATGCCCTAAGCCAAAAACCTCTAAAAAAACTAAACGCAGGGACCAGCAGTTAGTGTAATGGCTATGTCGATGGAGTCCCATGTAGTCGACCCTGGTTCAAGTCCCCGGTAGCTTAAACTCACTCCAGGCGCGTGTGTGTGCATGCCCAAGATCCTGAGAGGAGAATGAAGGAGAAAGGATTGTGGTATGGCCATTCCCCCTGAGGGGTGATTTCTCGCTTTCTGTCTCTCTGTCTCTGTCTTTCTGAAAATACTGTTAAATAAAAAGAAGGCAGTTACAATGCGTTGTGTGATTCTAGTCCTACGAAATGTCCAGAATAGGAAGGCCATAAAGGCAGAAGGTAAAGTAGGTGTCTAGGTTGTAGGTAATGGGCAGTGACAGCTGATGGGTACAGAGTATTTTTCTTTGGGGGAGGGGTAATGAAAATATTCTAAAATTGATTAAGTTGAATATACTAGCAACATTAAATTGTATATTTTAAATGGAGGCATTGTATATTGTGTGAATTATATCTCAATAAAGCTGTAATGGAGAAGGAGGAGAGAGGAGAGGAGGGGGAGGAGGGAGAAAAACTGTATTTCATAAGACTGTTGTCTATTTTGTTTTGACCACTTTGGGCACAAGATTCCTGCATACCATCAGATAAGACTCAATCGACCCAGATACCTAACCATACCTAACAATTCATGAATGAATTTTTTGAATATAATCTAATTTTACCATCAATATTCTTGGCTTTGTCTTATCACTAAAGTAAAGATCAGTACAGAGTTTTGGTCGGAATTCCTAGTATTCTTTGGTTGTGAGGTCTTGTCATGCCACTTCAGGGAGCCGCTTTGTTGAGGGTTCCACATCATGTCTTGCTTTTTTTTTTTTTTTTGGAATGAAGACCTGTGTTTTTAATCCTCTGATTATAAAATGATATTAGCTTGTCAGTAAGAAAAATGGGAGGAGGGAAGTCTGGACCTCTCCTCAGCTTCTCAGGAAATAAACTATGACTATACGTGCAAGAACCATGAAATATATCTGAATTCGCTTACTTACCTAGCAAGAAAATTTAAGTTGCAATTGGGTTACCCTGCAATAGCATGATAGCGAATTCCTATTGTTTAATGGTTTTATTGTCTAGAGTTAACTTTTACAGCTGTTTCACATGTTGTTGAAATAAACACGTTTGCTCTATTTGATATTCTGTACAGTTACATACATATCCATTAATTCAAGGTCATTAGTTGTGCATTTAAGTTTTCTGTTATTAATGTTTTAGTTACTTCACTTAGAATGAATAAATATCTACTTATGGATAATCTAAAATATGTCAGGCCCCATTCTGGGCTCCAAGAATTCAATCCTGAACACAGGACACAGTTCCTGTCCTCAAGAAACTCAAGTAGGATGTCCCCTATAGTCATGGCTTCCGCTGCCGCTGCTGTTGGCCCTGGGGTGCCCCTGTCCCCTGATGAATTGCTCCTGAAAGGCGAGGCAGAAAAGATGGAAGAGGAGCTGGAAGAGGACGATGACGAGGAGCTAGAAGAGACCCTCTCGGGGAGACTGTGGGGTCTGACGGAGGTGTTCCCGGAGAGGGTTCAGTCAGCAGCCGGAGCCAATTTTTTTTTTTTTTTTTGGAGAGGTTTTCGCTATAGGGCGCGTGCGCTCGCCAGACAGACAGAGACATAGAGACAGAAAGCGAGAAGTCACCCCCCAGGGGGGATGGTCACGCCGCAATCCCTTCTCCTCCATTCTCCTCTCGGGATCTTGGGCACGCACGCACACGCGCCCGGTGTGAGATTTAAGCCACCGGGTCCGAGACGCGAACCGCGGTTGACTATGTGGGAGTCCAGCGATATAGCCATTACGCTAACTGCTGGTTCCCCCCGGAGCCACTTTTGATCTCTCCCTCTTTGTGGCTCAAAAAATGTACAGGCTTTCAAGGGCAGCTTCGTGGACTGGGACCACTTCGTTTACGATCCTGGTTCTTCTTCCTGTTGTCTTTGAGACTGAGAAGTTGCAAATGGAGCAACAGCAGCCACTGCAGCAGCGGCAGATACTTCTCAGGCCTAACACCCGCCAATCGGGAGGAATGCCAGGGGCCCTACCTTCACTTCCCAGAAAGATCTTCACTGTTATTGCTTAAGCTGTCTTGGTGGAAGAAGCTAGAAATTGAATAGTGTTTGAACTGCTGATTATTTGGATTTTTTTTTTTTTTTTTTTGACTGTGGCACATTGACCTATTTAAACCTGGAGGGGTGAATTCTCCCCACGTTGTCTCATGGAGAGACGCTCAATTTGCACTGTGTCCTCTGCACAACCCTATTTCTTCAGTCCTCGCTCCAACATCAGGGTACAGCCACGCAGACGGTTACCTCAGCCCTGGCCACCCCACTCCTTTCAGTAAATTGCTCCTAACTGGAGGATCTCACTATCTCGTTGTAGGGTAGGAACTGATGCCCTGACTTTGAATGTGTGGGTTTTTTTTTCCCTTAAAGAATGGAGATGCTGGAGAGGGATGTGCACACATTCTGACAGACAAACGCATTGCAGCTGTAGTATCAGGTGGCCACAGCAAACCCCTGTGTGTTGGACAGGCAGCTAGCTGCAGCTTCAGCAACGGGACGGACTGCAGGACAAAGCAAGAGCTCCTGTGTTCTGCTCAGTGTGGCTGTCATATGCCTGTGTGTAAAAACAGTCAGGGCTCACTTTTGTATTTAAATAATAAAAACAATTCCGACTGAAAAAAAAAAAAGAAACTCAAGTAAATGACAAATATCTCAACACATGAGGCTGTAAAATTGCAATGCCTGTCTGTATTTACTTTAAATTTATAAAAAAATTTTTACTTTAGGCATTGCCTTTTAATCTCTGAAAACAAATTTTTTAAGTTTATACCATAGGGTGCGTGCACTTGCCAGACACAGAGAGCAATAGCCCCACAAGGGGGATGGCCATGCCCCAATCCCATCTCTTCTTGAGATTTTCGGCATGCATGCACACGCACCCAGCAAGATTTTCAAGCCACCAGGTCCAAGACTTGAACCACTTGGCCATGTGGAAATCCAGCACCTTGCTGGCACCTTATCTCTGAAATTTTAAGATTTTAATTAAATTACTACCATGCCACTTGCTGGCACCTTATCTCTGAAATTTTAAGAAAGCAGTTAAAATCTCCCACTGTAGGGACCAGCAGGGGGTGTGGTAGTTAAGGTGCTGGACTCCAACATGGCAGACCCTGGTTCTAGTCTCTGATCTGGTGGCTTGAAAATCACATTGGGCACCTATGATTTGTGCATGCCCAAAATCCTGAGAGAAAAATGGAGGAGAAGGGACTGTGGCATGGTCATACCCCTGAGGGGGGTGATTTTTCATTTTCTCTCTCTTTGTCTCTCTCTGGTGAGCATGTGCACCTCTGGCAAGAAACTAAAAAAAAAAATCTACTATACTTGTGAAATCATCAAATTCCCCTTTGGCTCTGTCTCTCAAATTTTTTTTTAAAAAACAAATCTTTTTTTTTTTTTTTTTTCATGGAAGGACATCCTTGAGCCATAGTCTCCTCCCTGCAGCTCTTCAGGTAGTCAGGATCTTGGATTTATGTACCCAGCATGTTTTAGGTCAACTCAGAATCTGAACCTGTGATAGGCCATGTGGCTTCCAGCCCTGCAGATGAACACACAATTGCCTGTGATATTGCAGCTTGGCCTAGATCTGTCAGTTTTTGCTTAATTTACTTTGAGGCTCTGTTGTCAGGTGCACAGTGGTTAAGGATTGTTGTAACTTCCTGGTAATTATTTTATCTCCTGCAGTGGCTTTTATCTCTAATCTAGTGTTCATACTATTTAGTGAAATTTATCTCAGACATGAGAGGTTTTCATCACTCAAGGCTAAATTGGAGTCTTTTTTAATATCTTCCACATCATTACATAACATGCTTGATTTTTCCTCTACCTTCCTAAAGATGTGGAATGTAGTTACAACTTCTTGTGTTCTTATCTAGTAATTCTGTCATCTGTGCTGTATCCGGGTATGTTTCTATTAATTGATTTTTCTCATTATGGATCATAATTTCCTGCTTCTATGCATGTCTGTTAAGTTTCAGTTGGATGCCAGACATGGTGTATTTTATCTCGTTAGATGCTGGATGTTTTTTATTCCTATAACCGTCCGTGAGCTTTGGTCAGGGACATAGTTCATTTACTTGAAAACAATTTGGTTCTTTAGAGATTCTTATAGTTTAAGTTTGACTAGGTGAGACTCAAGTTATCTTTAGTCTCAGACTGATTTTTCCTGACGACGTAAGCAATACCCTTCTGAGTATTCAATGCCCTCTGAATGAGGTTTTCCACTCTGCCCGATGGGAACAGAACTGCTCCTAGCTCCGTGTCATTTCTGTGGATTGCTTCCAGTGCTTCATTTAGGTCATTCTTTCCCTAGCCTCGTGTGGTTTCCTCATACTTGCATGCTGACCCGGACTCAGCTAAAGGGGAATCCTCTGCAGCTTGCTGTCTTTCTCAATGCAGCACTCCTTACTCCAGTCCTGTGGCTGAAAACATAACAGCTTGGACTTCTTCAGATGCCCAGATGGATCTCTTCAAACCAGGGAGATCACCAACATCCCCCCTTTTTTGTGCTTCAGCCTGGAAGTCTCTCCAGGTACTAAGCAGGTATAATTTCAGGGCTTACTTCATTTGTTTCCCTCCCTTAGAAACACTGTCTTGGGTTGCCTGATGTCCGAAGGATGAAAAGTTGTTGTTTCAAATATTTTTTTTTTCAAGACTTTTAGTTGTCTCGTGTAAGAGGATAAATTCAATATGTTACTTTCTTTTTTAAAAAAAAGGAATTATTAATTTAATTTAATTTATTATTATTTTAAATTTTGCTATAGGGCACATGTGCTCACCAGAGAGAGAGAGAGAAAATAAGAAAGCAAACCACCAGGTCTGGGACTTGCACCAGGTCTGGGACTTGAACATAGTTGGCCAAGTGGGAGTCCAGTGCCCTAACCACCATGTCACCTACTGGCCTGAGTCTGTTACTACTTGGCTAGAAGCTGAAGTTTACTTTATTTCTAGTAATGTTTTTTGCCTTAATATTTATTTTGGACTTCTTTTTTTCTTTCTTTCTTTCCCTCTTTCTTTCTTTCCCTCTTTCTTTCCCTCTTTCTTTCTTTCTTTCTTTCTTTCTTTCTTTCTTTCTTTCTTTCTTTCTTTCTTTCTTTCTTTCTTTCTTTTTTCCAAGGTTTTCCCCTTAGGGCGTATGCATTTACTGGAGAGAGACAGAGACAGTGAGAGGGAAAGTGAGAAATACCCCCAGGGAGGATGGCCATGCCACATTTCCTTCTCCATTCTACTCCTGGGGTCTGGGGCATGCACACACATGTGTCCGGTGTGATTTTCAGGTTTTGACAGCACACTTCATTCCCAGCTTCAGCCCTGGACCATGGGCGTATGTGCCTGGTGTGCTCGGGAAGATCTCTGTATGTAAATCTTGAACCTTCCCATGTGGCTCAGCCTCACGGCTTGTTCATTTGGCTGGGTCAGTCTAGCTCCTGGATTTCAACATTTTTTGGTATCAAAATAAACTCATACCAACTTGTTATGACATGTCCAAGCAAGATTTCATCTGAGGCACTAAAAAGTTAAGACAACAGTTTCAAAAGAGCCCCTATCAGAGCAACATGAATTCTATTAAAAATTGAAGCAAGAAAAAATATCAAATTTATGGCAAAGTTTGGGTGGAAGAGTGATTAACTCGTTGATGCTTTATGAAAAGTTTATGAAAATGATGTCCCAAGGAAATGGGTAGTTCACAAATCAATAGCTTGTTTTTAGAAGGATCAGATAATGGCCTAGCAGGTGGCATAGTGGTTGAGGCACTGGACTCTCACATGGTTGACCATGGTTCAAGTCCTGGACCCGGGGGCTTGAAACACATGCTGGGTACATATTGTGGGGCCCCAACATTGTGAGAGGAGAATGGAGGAAAAAGAAGTGTGGCATGTCCATCCTCACGAGTGATTTCTCACTTCCTGTCTCTCTAGCAAGTATATATGCCATATATATATGCAAAAAATCTCTCTCAAAAAAAGAAAAGGGAGAGAGAAGGGATGAGATGATATTGAAGATGGTGCCTGCAGCAACAGATTATCTACATCAGTTTGCAAAAAAAAAATTAATCTTGTTCATGCCCTGATTGAAGAGGACCGATGATTAACAGCTGAAACAATAGCAACATCAGACATTTCAGTTGGCTCAGCTTCCTGACAGAAAAATTAAAGTCAAGCACATTTTCTGCTTGATAAATGCCCAAGCCGTTGTACTCAGATTAGCTGCAGACAAGAGCAGAGGGACTTTTTTTTGAGAGAGAGATTTTTACTATAGGATGTTTGCACTCACTGGAGAGACAGAGAGATGGAGAGACAGAGAGATGGAGAGACGGAAAGTGAGAAATCACCCCACAGCAGCTATGGCCATGTCACAATCCCTTGTCCTCTATTTTCCTCCTGGGATTCCACGCATGCACACACATGCACCCAACATGAGTTTCAAGCCATGGGTCTGGGACTTGAACCACGGTAGACCATGCGGGAGTTCAGCACCTTAACCTCTACACCACCTGATGGACCCTCAATGGGACTTTTAACATATCCTGAGCATTTTTTCCAAGAATTGTAACAAGATGAAACATGACTTAACTGGTATGATCCTGAAGAAAAAACACAATCAAAGCAGTGGCTACCAAGAGGTGAAAGAGGTCCAGTCAAAGCAAAAGCTGACTGATCAAGAGCAAAGGTCATGGCAATGATTGTGTGAGGTGCTCAAGGCATTTTGGATTTTCTGGAAGAGCAAAGAATGATAAAACCTGCTTATTAAGAGAGTGTATTTTAAAAAGTTAGCCAACACATTAGTAGAAAAATGTCCAGGGAAGCTTCGCCAGAGTTCTTTACCACTCTACTTTCTTTACTCCTGCTGATTTCTCTCAACCAAAAAGAGGCGATTTTGCAAGAGTTTGGATGGGAAATCATTAGGTATCCGCTTTACAGTTCTGATTTTGCTCCTTCTGGCTTTTTGTTTGTTTCTTTTTTTTCCCAATTTAAAAAAATCTTTAAAATGCACTAATTTTTTTCTTCAGTTAAAACTGTAA